TTTTCTTCAAGAATCGAGGTGTTTGAAATATTTTTGTTTCTATTGCTAATTACATCCTCAAACCAGGTTGACAGTATCGATTTAATCCGATTGATGCTAGTTGTAGCTTGATCGTTGCCGAGTTCTTCCAAGAGAATGAACTCAATACGCTGGAGCTTGCATCGAGGGTCAAACACTTGGCTTGTGGCCGCAAGATCTTCCATTTGAGTCCAGTATTTGTAGTATTTTTCTTGCATCGGTTGGATCATTTCAACGATGTGAGGGAGGCCACTGTTAAGCGAGTCTTTCAATTGTTTATCGATCTTTTTCATCGTTTTGTAGACTAGATGAGCAGTTGGGTATCTCGTCATCCCAAGTTTCAAAGTGGCTAGGCAAAGCAAGAAAAAAATGACATTTCAATTATGTAACTCAACAAGCAACAAATGAAATAAATACACACCTTCTTTAAAAACAGACAAGAAGTCCTGCATCGTTGAAATCTCGTCCCACTCCTCCGTGGTAGGACAGTCAGTGTAGTTGGCATCTGACACTGACAATTGATTGAATGCATTTTTGTAAGGAAGAGCAGAATTGAGCATGTCGTAAGTCGAATTCCAACGCGTGGGAACATCGATTGATGGGAGTGCTTGTGCTCCCATGTTGACGTGGTTGATTGCCTCTTTGAACGAGTGTTTACGCGATGGGGTGCTCTTAGTATAACGGACGCTGTCACGAATCTTACTGATGGCAACTGAAGCATTCTTGAGGCCGTCCTTCACAACGAGGTTGATGATATGGGCAGCACATCGCACATGAAAAATTTTTCCTTTCATTTCCAAAGGCACATTGCTTCGAGCTGAAATAATTGACAACACTCGATTGATTGCGACATTGTTTGAGGAGGCATTGTCGACAGTAATAAATGAAACCTTGTTGATGATGTTCCATTCAACCATTGTAGCAACTAGCTGATCACCGATTGCAATGCCAGTGTGAGGAGGTGGAATCTGTTTGAAGCTGAGTATGCGATTCTTTAGAGTCCAGTCGGATGAGATGAAATGAGCCGAGATGACCATAAAAGGGGTCTGGTTTGAGGAGGTCCAGAGATCAGTTGTTAAGGCAATCCGATCAACTTCAGCAATCTCTTTGATAAGTTTATCCTTCATCGATCCATGCAGCGCCATGATTTCGGTCTTGAGCGTTCCACGACTAAAGAGTTTGAACTGAGGTTGTAACGATTTCACAAAGGCTCGGAATAGGGGTTGCTCAACGAAAGTAAAAGGTTGTTCGTGAGCGATAATCATCTTGATCAAGAGTTCGCGTGAGGCCTGCTGAGAAAAGACCCAAGTGGAAGGTGTCAAGGATTTTGCCGGAAGTGTCAGTAATGTCTGCTTGCTTTTGCTTTGGTACGAGGAACACCGCTCAAGGTGGCGCCAAAGATGTTTGGTTCCATTTTTGCTTTGAGCATCTAATGGTCGTTGACAGTGTTTGCAGTGAGCCTTGACCTCTGAACCTGAGAAAAGAACCAAAAATCAGACAAGGGCACAATGATAAAATGCAAATTAGACCACCAACCTGTTGCTTTCTTGGTGAAGTGCTCCCATATGTCGCTAGTTGTTTTCCGCTTTGTCAAAGTTTCTTGAGTCTTGGACTTTTTTGCTGGTTCAGCTTCTGAAGTACTGGGATTATTTTGTGAAGCGGCAGGAGTGACCGGATTACTGGCTGTTGATTTCTGAGTGCCTGTCTGGCTTGCTGGGGTTACTTCAGTGACTTGGATTTCAGATTCCCCATCAGATGAGGAGGAAACATCGGCAATATGGCGCTTTTTTCTGGAATGTGGCATCGGGGGCATTGCGAGGAGGTTGATATTGCCAGAAGTTGACCAGTAGAAGAGTCTTAATACTGGAGAAGCTGAGAACTACCCATTCTTAGTCGGGTTCTCGGGCCGACCCGACTGTAAGATACCTCTCCCAAACCCGAACCCGACTGAGGAGGCGGGTCTTTCCGGGTCGGGTCAAAAGTTGATTCTTGGCCAATAGGCCTACCCAAACCCGACCCAAGACCCGACGGGTCTCGGGTCGGTAGCGGGTCGACCCGACCCATTTACATCCTGAGTAGCAGGCGATTTTTTGCGCCCTGTGCGCGTAGCGTTAGCGCAGATGGGGAGAATTGCGCTAACGCTACGCTAAACGTTAGCGCATTGTTTTGCCCCGTGCGCGTAGCGTTAGCGCTGAAAATGAAAAAAGCGCTAACGCTACGCTACATTGTAGCGATTTTTTGCTACACTACGCTACGCTAACGCTACAGTTAGCGTAGCTGGCCCACCGTTGGTTCCGGCGTGGTTTATTCACG